AATCACTGAAGCAAAAACTTTCAATAAGGCTATAACATGTCAACTTAGTGTTTACACTAGCAGTGTTTCCAAAACTAACGCTACAATTCGAGAGGCAGTCACTTACCGTGTAAGATGCGTGAGCTCCGGATCTGCTTCGAGCAGCCGTCATGAGATCCCATTGTTTCAGAGTCGCATTCGCGAAGGGCATTACAAAGTTAGCCATTACTGCTTTTTCACCAGGGAACTTAATGGACAGTATGAACTAAAGTCGTCTTGGTGATGAGGATTCTAGGAAAGTCGCGCAAGCAGCTAGCTGACTAAGGGGGGAAGAGATCCCGTTTTAGATTTGCTTTCAGTGCAGTAGCTAGAAATGAGCACAATGAAGCCACTTTTTTTAACGCCCAAGCTGATGCGTTCTTCCGCATATGAATCGTTTCAGACAGCTCCGTATGTTCATAAATTCGCATTAATAAAGGCAAGTGCGCTAGCGGACCATTTTGAGGCGAGGAAATAAGCAGCTGTGCTGGGATGAATAGCTTACCAAAGTTATTGCAACCAAACATCTTACAGACGTCTATCGCATGAACATCCTATCCTATGGAACTAATTACCCCACGTCTTCTTCATAAATATATAAAAAGCGTATTAAATTGAGGTTGATTCATCATAACGTATGATTTGCTATGTGCAGTTTAAAGAGCTACTCCCCACATTACCAGAAAACAAAAAAAATGAACGCTATAATATCATCTGATGTTTCTTGACTTTCTTGCGCGCCTATGTGATGCGGACAGTAGTTCCCGTGACTTCATGTACATGCTCTCGATTGGTTCATATATGTAAAATATCTAATGTTATTTGTCTCCGGCACTGCTTTGCCATGTAGCCGCCCAATCTTTCTTCTTTGTCTCGCATCAATATCGCACACGAACAACCGATCGCACTTCACTCTGTGTTAACAACGGCTGAAGCAGTGATAAGAGTGTGTGAAACGTGAAACCCGAATAGGCTCTAGCACTTAATGCTGACATTGTTCCTGTGTTTTTAAGAACTAAGGCGCGAGGATAATGCATTGCGTGTGTGAAGGAAAGTGAAGAAGAGGAGAAAACAACCCCCTCATCTTTGAATGTCATGTGGTGAGTGGCCTATATTGGCGAACTGTGCCGAATGTAATAAGAAAAGATATCGCCTTCACGGCCCTCCCCGATGTCGATGGGGTGGAAGCAGTTCTTTGTAAAATGCACTTGACTGCCTGTCCAATGGTAATTGGTTGCGTTTATCGGAGCCCCTCGTCACACTCGGAAGCAATGCATTCCCTGTATAAATACCTGCACATTCACGCTCTTGCATGTAGGCTTATACTTGTTGGCGATATTAACCTCCCTGATATCGACTGGCTCCCCATGAACCATCAATCATCTTCGTCCGACATTATTATTGATACTATGCTGACATTCAACCTCTCCCAAATCGTTAAAGAGCCCACTCGTGTACAAGGGTGTTCCTCAAATATACTTGACCTAGTTTTTATTAGTGACCACTTTCCTGCAGATGAGGCCATCATCGAGCTAACTGATGGTATATCAGATCACAAGATAGTATTATGTTCGATTCCCTTGCATGAACGTATCAAGAATTCAAATTCAGTTTTGTCATTTCTTGATTTCAGCAACGCTGATGACACTAGTGTACTGGACCACTTATCATACGAATTTAGCTCATTCGAGCAGCTTGCCGATAATCCGGATGTTGATGTCGAAACGTTGTGGCAGAAATTTAAAGAAATTATTTCGTATTGCGTCTCTCAATATATACCTTCTAAAACAAAGAAAGAAAGACAATTCAATCCATGGATAAACCGCGACATTATTCATGCTAAACGTAAAGTAAAGCGCCTAAGAAAGTCTTTCCAACAAACATCGAATTCAATAACTGGTAAAAACCTTGCGGGAGCCATCAGTTCAATGAAGTCTCAAATTAAAGCAGCTAAGAATCACTACTTTTCTTATACTCTACCTAATTTTCTTAATGATGCACCTCAAAAATTCTGGAACTACCTAAATAAAAAAATAAAAAATATAGTACAATGTCTCCAGAAGAAAGTGGAGACCGAGCTAATCTGTTCAATAACTACTTCCACTCAGTGTTCACTACAGATAATGACATCCCACCGCCTCTCGAAATTCATGGAGTACCATGAACCTCATTGAACCATGAACCCCATTGAACCTCTCCGTATAAACGAAGCAGGTATATTTGACCTTTTGCTAAAAACGAAGATCAAGAAACAACCAGGGCCTGATAATATACCTAATGAGTTTCTCACACGTTACGCCGAATGGGTAACTAAATATCTGTTTATTATATTTAACATGTCCCTAACAAAATCTTCACTGCCCAATGACTGGAAAATAGCACAGGTCATACCAATTCACAAATCGGGTAGTGAAGCTCACGTCGCTAATTATCGCCCGATATCCTTAACAAGCACAATCTGTAAAATATTTGAGCATATTATTCTTAAACATATAACTACTTACCTTGAAAACGAGAACATTTTGACACCATCTCAGCACGGGTTTCGTAAAGGTCTTTCCACCGTTACGCAGCTTACCGAGTTAATACATGAATTGTCATCGGACATTGACCATCAAAAGCAGATCGACCTCATCTCACTCGACTTTTCTAAAGCATTTGACCGGGTTTCGCATCAAAAGCTCATGGAAAAATTGCAGGTGACAATAGGTAAAGGACCAATCACAAACTGGATTAGAGCATATCTAACCAAGCGGACGCAGTTTGTGAAAATACACCAGCAAACATCGGAACTAACGGAAGTTACCTCAGGTGTACCACAGGGCGGCGTCCTAGCTCCTATTCTATTTCTGATTTTTATGAACGATTTGCCCCAATCCATCGGGACGAACATAAAGCTTTTCACAGACGATTGTATTATTTACAAAGAAATTAACTCACCTTCAGATCATATGGTCCTCAGCAATGCTCTATTATCAGTGTCAGATTGGTGCACGAAATGGCAGATGACATTAAACGTAAAAAAATCAGCCTTGTTAAGAATAACCCGTAGACAAAACATTTCAAATTTTGCCTACACTATTGGCGGCACGCAACTAACTTCCCTGAAACAGCATAAGTATCTTGGACTAGTCATTTCTAGTGACCTTATATGGGAGGCACATGTTAATTACGTTACATCCTCAGCCTTAAAAAGATTATTTTTTCTTAAAAGACGACTACAATCCGCACCACCTCAAACAAAACTCTTAGCCTATAAAACCTCCATTCGACCTACAATAGAATACGCTAACTTAGTCTGGTTCCCGGCCACAAATAACTTAATTAAAAAGCTAGAAAGTGTACAAAGAAAGGCGGTTAGATTTATCTACAACAAATACAGTCTGCTCGATTCACCTACTGAATTAATCGCAAAAGCTGGGTTACTAACATTGCGAAATCGCGCTCAACTCTCACGTTTAAAAATGCTCTTCCAACTCATTCATAAACAGCTAAGCATCGACAGCTCTAGGTTCATATCAATCTCGGAAACTAGACAGTCACGCCATAAACATCCATTAACTTTACAGGAATACCGTTTCAACAGCAACTGCTTCAGGTATTCTTTCTTCCCACAGTAAATTAGAGAATGGAATAGATTACCCGGCTGTATAATTAATAGTAAAGATTTGAATACATTCTTGATGTTGCTTAATAATCATATTCGTGCCACCCATAGTTAAATTGATGTTTTTTTTCCAATTCTCGAGTGCCTTTTGATCATGATAAGTATATCAGTGTCGTACGCATGGAAAAGTCTTTCATGTTTATTAGTGATATTTCTTGCATGGTATTAATAACCGTCTATTATGTACCAAATCTGTGTTCTAAATGTTTTTCACCACATTGTTTATGCTCCCATATAATCCATGTAATATCGTATAAGATCTGTAGTCGTACATTTTCACCTTTTCAATGTAAGTGTATCTATAGTATCTTTTGGTTGCCCTCCTGCAATATTCCCCATTGGGACTGGCAGTATGTATAAATAAAAATAAATAAATAAATAAATGTGTTGGTTGGTCATATCTCATAATCAATGAACAAATCAAGTAAGAAAATAAACTTGGATATAGAATGAAAGCAGAAATTGCTAGAGATTAGAGCGAAAAACTAAGCACAAGAATCACACATCTCTTAACCTCACCCCTCTGGCTTCGTTAGTCGATAGTATCATTAGTGTCAAAAAAGATTTCAAAGGAAGTGCTGCATAGCAGTGCGGCGGTGAAAGGCAATATGCAATAAAAGTTGTCCTAATAAAGAATTGTGCAAATCAGACATGCATATGTGAAATCTGTTTTAAAGCTCTGCCGTGGTAGTCTAGGACCTAAATTTTTGGATGCGGACCCCAGGTCGCAGTTTCGAATCCCAGCTGCGGCGGCTGCGCTTTCGATGAAGGCGAAAAGGCTGTAGGCCCGCGGTGTGCTCAAGTTTGGATGAATGTTAAAGAATCCCAGCTGGTCGAAATTTTCGGAGCCCTCCACCACGGCAGCTTTTATAATCATATGGTGATTTGGGATGATAAACGCCACATATCAATCAATCAAAGTTATCTCTTTAAGGAACAGTCGAGGACAAAATGGTCGAAAGCTTAGTGGCGTGGTGTAATGCTGATGATATACCAGTACGACTTATATTTCAAGCACAGCTACAGAAGGACAGAAAATCGTAAAATAAAATACTTGTTGACGAACCAAAATAACACGAATTAAAATTTCCATGGTATTGTTACAAAATAACCAAGGAGCGATCGTCAATCTTTCGGCCTTTTTGCTCATTATTACCCTTGCAATAAGCTTTGCAAGAAAAATTTGCCTAGATTTAGAAACGTGACCGCTGAAGAAGCTTGCCTTCATGCTCAGGGCCACTATAACTATTGATGTGTAAAAATACTTTTTTTTAATTTGAAATGAACTGAAGATATGCTTTATAATTTGCAAGAATTGTAGGTAGGTACGCTTTATTGTTTGCAAGAATGTTCGTAGGTACAGACAAAATGCTTTTTTTTTCGTCAGTAAATATCCAATTTGAACTGTCTTGAGTTGTTAATTGAGGTAAGAAGTTATTTATTCAGCCTTTAAAACTTCTTCGAGCGATAAGAAGACGAGTGCATTCCACTTCTACAAACCCCCTGGAAGCATCTCTGAAAAACAACATTTGTGTTTAATTATAAGCAACGAGTTCTTTATTATTTGTTTAGGAATACTGTCAATCCTGTCAGGCACTTTCACAGGAGTGGATTGATAAAGAATACAACTATCGCGATATAGACTGATAAAATATACAATACAATTGTGTAAATCATAAGGACTTCATGATAAAAATAAAAATTGTACATTTTGTCAGATAGTAATAAGACTTTATGGTCATTATCGACACATATGTTAAGAAGTGCAAAAAAAAATAGTAACGCGACAATATTGTTTAGCTTCTCAGTTATTGTACAAAGTATTAGCATAGGTGAAGTAAAATAACCAAAAAAATGTTGTAGGCTTCACCATTGTCAGAGTAAAATTTTTTTGCATAGGTATCTGTATACTGCACCTGTAAGGGCTTCATTGGTTATATTTCCATTGAAAGAAAAATTACAGTATATTCACAGTGAGCGATGTTGAGTAGGGCGAAGCGTTCATCCCATACGTCCGTCTCTCCATCCTTCGGTTTGTCCGTGCGTTCGTCCACGTGTCCATCCGTCCGTCCTTGCTTCTGTCCGTTTGTCCATCCGTCCGTGCGTCCGGATAGATAGACGGACCGAGGCAAGGACGCACGGATGGTCGGAAGAGAGGACGAACGAACGGACGAAATCACGCACGGATCGACAAGTGGACGCACGGATGGGCGTGTGGATGAACTCACGGTTAGGAACCTGGACGGACGGATGCAGGAATGAACGGAAGCACGGACGGACAGACAGACGGACGGAGAGAAGCGCGGACACATGGGTGAATGGTCGAACGGAATCGTGCATGAACAGACAAACGGACGGACGCATGGCCGGACAAACAGAAGCATGAATGGACGGTAGCACGGACAGATGGATTGACGGGCGATCGGACGGATGCATGGACGATTGGACGTACGGACGACTTCTCACATCAATAGACGGATGGATGTTTTGCCCCATTCATCATCATTCACTCAATGGATATGCTGTGAAATCCACTGATGTCATCTAGTTATCTTATTCCCAAGGACATTTACACAAAACGCCTTATATTGAGCAAGTAAAAACTGGAGATGGCTACATACTTCATACGGAGGAGGAAACGAACCGTGCATGGTCTTAGGAGCTCCACCCCTAAAATGATTTGACTCTCTTTCAATACCTCTTGGGCTTGTGGGAGAACATTCGCACAACAGCAGAAGACAAAGCAAGCGGCGGCACGCCACTGTGCCACGATTTGGTGCTTCACTTGAGACGTTTCCGTTCCCGTTTGATTTCAGAATACGGTAAATGGCTAACATGCGTCAGAGAGCCATAGTATGAGAGAACGTGCTTGTTTTCGCCAGACGTCTAACACCCTTAGGCGAAAGCGGCTACATCAAATTCTTGACAAAAACAGGAACGGAGGTGGCAAGCCCATTGAGCGGAACTGCACGCGTGTAGCGCGGGGCGTTTCGCTCACTAAATAATCAAAGTTTATCGCCCACGGTCGAACATGGTAGCTAACTCGTCGAGAGCTTGAACAACGCCTCAGGCGTTAGCTTGAAAGAGACGACAGGAGCAATTCCACTTGCACGGCCGCCGCAGGACTGCCATTGCGAAGTGATGCCTTATGCTACGTTATTCTCATCGTTCAACACACCCAGATAGCTCGTTGCGTTGTTAATGTGGACGGACCAACGCTCAGATTCCTGGCAAAGCGCGAAAAGAAGGCAAATCACTGGCATCAAAAAAGGAATCGTTCTGCGATTGCTACACTGTGCGAGTAACTAAAAAGATGCTTCCAAATTGGCGGTTGTTTCCGTTAGAGACACCTTCATGAACTACGTCTATGTGGAGCCTCTAGATACAAAATGCCAATACACTGTTTTGAAAGCAGAACAAAGTCTTGACGCTTTCTTGTGAAGATAAGTGACATTGATATTTCTTTAGCAATGAGCGACTAAAACTGCTATCAGGTCTGTCACAGATTTCCTCAAGAATACTGGACTGAACAACAGTCTTTTGATAAAGCAATATGGTTATTGGTTCTTCTATGCGCGTATCACTCTTTCTCTTCCCTTCAACCTTCTTAATCAGTGTTCTTTCCTTTTGCCCTGGGCAAGGAAGAAGTCAAGAACACTGTAGCTCAGGCCATTTCTTTGCCTTCAGGAGAAATAGCTTTTTCTTTTTTAACAACATTTCTATTTATTATTTACATCTTGGGACTTAAGCTTTAAGCGTCATTTTCCGTGCACTGTGAAAACATTCGTTTAGATTCAGTACCTTTTTTACGCATGAGCCTTTTTGTGGTTGTTGTGTATGTGGAACTTTGTAAGTTCATTATGATAAGAGAAGCTGCGCAAATAGCGAGAAATGCAGAAAACGAACAACTTTGTTGCTCGTCTTGCAACTTTCTTATTTAGTCTCTCTCTTCTCATGGCTTGTTGACTTTGCAATATGAACAAACTTCAAGTAGCCGAATTCCCACGTGCTATTTTTAGTAAGTTGTGGCAAAGTCTCCAGCGATGGTGTAGCTGTAATGGTTCTGGACTGCTAATTCGAGAGTCGCTGGTGCGATTCCGGCTCTGGCAGTCGAATCTCGAGGGGGGCAAAGTTCTGGATGACGATTTCCAGCGCACGCATTGCCTCGGGACTGCTTGCTTGGCTGCCGCAAAAGAGGGACGCTGCAACTTGCTTTGGCCAACGGCTTCTGCCACGGCTATTGAACTTTGTTATCCGGCCTCGCACCCATTGGACGTCGCGCTGACCCTTCCGTATTAGTCTTGAGGTAGCACATTAGCTTTTGTTGTTTGCAGCACTTTCAGGCCTACGCATGCTTCGATCTTACTACGCACAGAATCCAGCTAGCGAACACCCATAAAGTAGAACACCGAGCGATCATGGCGGCTCTGTCTTCCTCAATGTGGGCGTTCGTATGTATGCCTACATACAAGCCTTCCTATCAGGACGCACGGCCGAGGTTCATATGGGCCCCCACACGTCCCCTCCATATACCCTCAGTGGTGTAGGCACTCCGCAAGGTTCGGTCCTTTCCCCTTTTCTCTTCAATGCCACACTCATTCCCTTAGCCCGCGCTCTTCACAATATCCCTCACCTTCACCACACCCTCTATGCAGACGACATCACACTGTGGACCACCCACGGTAGTGATGGTGACATAGAGGAAACCTTACAAACCGCCGCAAACATTACACAACAACACGCACAAAGCATTGGTCTCTCCTGTTCCCCGGAAAAATCTGAGCTGCTTCTCATACGCCCTTCACCACGTACTCTTCCCACTGCCCCCATCACCGTTACTCTGGACGGGCGCCCTATCCCAGAGGTCGACACAATCCGAATCTTGGGCTTTCACATCCAAAATAACGGCCGTAACACTTTCCCTATCCAGAAACTCAAGCGGGTGACGGATGCGCTCTCGAACCTCGTCCGCAGAGTTTCTGGAAAACACTATGGCATGAAGGAACACGATTTGTGTCGTCTCATTCATGCCTTCATACTGAGCCGCTTCCTTTATACAATCCCGTATCTCCGACTTCGACAAGAAGAAATAGCCACCCTGGATGCCATGCTTCGTAAAGCCTACAAGGTGGCCTTACACCTCCCCCCTAACACACAGACCACCAAACTTCTTCAGCTTGGGCTCCATAACACCACACACGAACTCACTGAGACCCACAGACGAGCGCAATACACTCGTTTAGCTCAGACTTTCACCGGACGCTACATACTAAACACCCTCAATATTCACATACCAGCAGCCGACCCCACACTTCTACCAATCCCCCGACCCATACACACACAGATAATAGTTAAATCTCTCCCAAGAAACACCCACGTTACCTACTATTCGGCCCGCCGCAAGGCCCGTGCAAAAGCTCTCCACAAATACTACGGTTCTGAAGAGGACGCCGTATGGGTGGATGCAGCTTGCACGGGCGACGACGCGGCAGTTGCAGTTGTTGATCGCACACTCCAACCCATTGCAACTCTCCACCTTCCTCCTGCATCCACCCCGGAATCCTCGGAAGAAGCGGCGATCGCGCTTGCCCTCGCACACACTGATGCCCGGTACGTCCTTTCCGACTCGAAAACCGCGATCCTAAATTTCGCGCGAGGACGAGTCCACGAGAGCGCTTTCAGAATTCTCAGCTCGTCCACCAAAAGCCCGGCCCGCCATGTGGAGCTGATCTGGGTGCCTGCGCACTCTGGAAATCCCGGCAACGAAGCCGCCAATGACCACGCCCGAGGTCTCATCAACCAGGCGGTGGCGGAATCGGAGTCGGGCTCTTCCAGGGAGCGCATGCGTTCGTTCAACGAGATGACCTAGTCATATCGCGCCGAACGCCAGCTATACCCACCACCCCACCGATCCCTCAAAAACTTTCACCAAATATTATGGCGTCGCCTTCAGACCCGCACCCTTCTCTCCCCCTATTTTCTTTCCCGCATTTACCCGGCAGCGTACGCCCCGTCCTGTGCTTAATGCACTCAACCCCACGCTACCCTTACCCACATTCTCATGGAATGCCCTGGCGGACCCTCCCCCGCGGGGCCCGGAGCAACTGACCACATGGGAGGAATGGGAGACCTTGCTGCGCTCGACGGACCCGGCCAAGCAGAAAATCGCCACTGACCGGGCCGCCCACGTCATGGAACTGCATGAACTCAAGAACGCATAGCGCAGTGGGGTCGTGCGGGGACTCTGGGACGTAAGTGCCCAAATCCCTTGGTCTAATAAAGTTTTACCTCCTCCTCCCATAACGCTCACGTAAGAAATCTCAGAACAGCTATAGCTTGGTTCACTCTGACATATGGTCGTTTCGTGCACTGATTTCCACAGCAATGCTGACATAATCACATTACGAGCTATTTGCTTACCTTTCCAGCATCGCACCACATGTAATCAAGCATGTGATGCCAGGCGCACGTGAGTGTATTGGGTTTACGCGCAGTGCAGCATCGCATTTTGCAATGTCTTTTTAGAGACTGTTCCTGCAAAAAAAAGTTAAGCAAATGAACGAAGCTACAGCAGTTGATCCTGCTTATTAAATTTACGCTGTTCTCCTTTAGAGACCGTACAATCTGCAAGCACAATAACACAATGTCAGAGATGAAATCAATATTTCCTTATTAAGTATCCTCGTGCTTTACAAAACAACGTAGGTAATCGCTGATGACTGATCAGCAATCATACAGTGATTGGGGCAGCCATTTGGCATTGCTGTCGTGACGTGACATTCTCTGTGTACATTAATATCGGTATTACCGGAAATCAATTAGCCGATGATGCAGCCCGCTCAGCCCATGATGAAACCCGTGTAGTCCCGATTCCTCTATCAAGGAATGATGCAGCAAGACAACTTTACATGCTGGCTCGAGATCTCACATGCACGTTCTGGTCGTCTACCAGCTTCCAAAGGTGTCATTTTATGAACTGGATCCTTCGCTCAAGCTAAAGCTACCATCACAACTTTCCCGCTCCGATGCGACACTGTTATGCCGCCTTTGGTTGGGTGTTGCATTCACAAAGGTGTACTCCTTTCGCATTGGTATGGCAGACACTCCTACATGCGACTACTGCGGAGATAAAGAGACCATCGAACACGTCCTGTGCAGCTGCGCTTGCTACGACACACAGCGATGCCAGCTACAGATGGTTTTGAATCGACTTGACCCCGGACCATTTTGTGTGCAGAAGATACTAGGACCTTGGGCATCTGCCTCAGTTGCGCAGAAAGCAACTAAAGCACTGCTACTTTACCTTAAGTCAACAAACCTGAGCGACCGCCTGTAAACTGTGTGTGCTCCCCGAGTGTGCTCGTGATTGTGTGTACCTTCTCATCTTTCTGCAACCTCTTTTCTCCCCTTTATCTCTTCCCCAGTGCAGGGTAGCAAACCGGATGTGCGCCTGCTTAACCTCCCTGCCTTTCCTTGTATCTTTATCTCCTCTCTCTCTCTTAATGAAATGCGAGGTTCTGCGTGTTATCATGCCTATTTTGTTCTCACAAGCTACTTTCAAGTGGATATTTAACGGTGAAGTGTGCGCCACCGAAAAAGAAACCTAATATCAACAATTAATGATTAGAGAGCACGAAAAGTGTAATTTTGTTCAACGTAATCACGCATGATCAGTAGAAGCATTCGAGATAGACAGACTACACGGCAAAAATAAAACTCAAGTACTGAAAGATTGTCAGCACGAACTAATGGGACACAAAAAGAGCCCTGAGACAAGCACATACTAAAATATGGTTTTATTCACAGATGATTATATACACAGGGTTAAGAACGGCGCAGAAGCACGAGACACCAAACGGACAAGACACGAGGTCGGGGGCCCATCCTTGTGTCTTCTTTGTTTGGTGTCTTGTATTCTTGCGTCGTTGTTAACCATGAACCCGCACCAACTCGCCCAAATGTCCGTGCTGCTGCAGATAGTACACACCACATTATATATATATATATATATATATATATATATATATATATATATATATATATATATATATATATATATATATATATATATATATATATATATATATTGTTACGCATGCCTTGGAAGAAAACGAAGATGGGTGAACATGCTGACTGCCCCAAGCTGGAGGAAGAAAGAAGACGACGAGACTGCGATCATCAACCTGTTGGCCGCTCCGGCGCTTCTCTTCGCGGCCAAAATAAACGGCCCCCTTCAGCCGTATACGTCCTGGTCCTCCTTGTGCGTAACAGATTGGTGGAAGCGTGCTGGGTAAGACAAGCCCAACGACGGGAGCTTCACTACCTGGACTACGCCGCAGCCGCCGCCTTGTCGGACTCCCGCCTGCGCCGATCGTAATGGCCCAAGATCAGCCATCTAACGCTTCAAGGCCAACTCTAATGGGTTCCGTGCCCTACTACCGAGTCCCGCCAACCTTTGGAGGAAAATCGGGAGAGGATGTCGACGCGTGGCTCGTCCAGTACAAGCGAGTCAGCAAGTCCAACGGCTGGGATGCCGCCGCTCAGCTCAGCAATGCGGTCTTTTGCCTTACGGATACGGCGCTCGTGTGGTACGAAAACCACGAGGACACACTGACGACGTGGGACGTTTTTGTTGCAGAGCTGAAAGCGTGTTTCGGCGACTCAAGCGTCAAAAGAAAGCGGGCAGAGCAGACATTGTCTCAACGCGCGCAGCTTCCAGGTGAGACATGTACCACGTATATAGAGGATGTGCTGAAGCTCTGCAAGGTGGTCAATGATCAGATGTCAAAAGACGACAAAGTAGGGCATTTGCTGAAAGGCATAGCCGAAGATGTATATAATTTTCTAATCGGAAAAGAGCACCTGAGCTCGGTGTCCGACGTGATTCGACATTGCCGAACTTTCGAACAGCTGAAAATGTGCAGGATTGCTCCAAAGTTCGGCCGGCTCACAAATGTTACAACGGTTGCCAGCATCGACACGAGCACCTGCCCAGACCTCTCCTCGACGATTCGAGAGATTGTTCGCGAAGAACTTTTTCGCTATAGAGAATAGACGCATTCAGCAGTTGATCACCATTCTGTAAACGACCAACATTCGGTATATGTGCCACGTGAGGCTGTGACAGCGCCGCCGCCTTCTACGACCCCTTGGCAATTGATGATTAGTGCAGCAGCTGTTGAGTACAGTGCAACCCCACAGCCAAGGAGAGCACCACGGTTGCCAGCTCCTCGCCAGGACTGACGCCCCCAGCGTCCACCTTCTTCGCGACGCCCAGTCTATCCCTATGATATACGGAACGAACCAACCCACTCCGCCAGAGAAGACGATGTTCGATTCATCGACGAACAAAGAGAGTTTCGACCTCTCCCAGTTTGCTACTCCTGTGGTGTACCAGGACATATTTCGCGATTTTGCAACCGTCGACGTGTAGCCCCACGGTATGGCTACCCACCACACTTTGCACGGCCTTCCGAACGACTTCGCGATCACCCGCGAGCAACGTACTATGGCCCACCACAACACTTCACACGATCGTCTGATCGACCGTACGATGACCCTAATGCAACACACCTGCTGCCTCGCGACGACTACTGGACACGCAGCTTCCGGAACCACTCCCCTACATCTGACAGGAGCTTGACGCCTCCATCGCCTCGTGTTTCCCGTTCTCCTTCACCACGGCGCCGCAACACGTCTCCTTTGCCACAGGAAAACTAGCAAGCGCGGCCGATGGAGGTGAGGTCGCCGGAGACGTGCTAATATCAGAAATACCTCCTGTGTTGATGCTCAAGAACAAAGTACTATAATATAGAACGGAGACAGTCAAAACTGTTATCCGAGGCCAGGTAGAAGCGTAGGCCTAGCTATCAAAATCAGCGACAGTCCGGGCCGAGCGTCTCGTGCTTAGCACTGACAATGTGTGTGGCGAGATTTGCATGACCCACTACAATCATCATTACACATTCCCCCCTCGCTGAAGATGGTGCCAAGTAAGTGTTCTAAGGTGTCGTGAGGACAAGTGGTTCGTGATATGGTTTGAGCGATTCACATGTACGATTTCGCGGCCTCGGCGACGCAGGTCCACAGTGGCCGTGAGGGGTTCGATGAGGTAGTTAACAGCGGAAGTTTGTTCTATGACGCGATAAGGTCCATGGTACCTGCTGACAAACTTTGTAGAGGTACCAGGAGCAGCACTGGGGGGCACCCACAGCCAAACAAGAGAGTTGGGCGAAAATTGGTAGTTGGACCGTCCATCGTCGTGACGAAATTTCTGTAGCCCTTGTTCTTGTGCTGTAAGGGTGCGAGCTAATTGCCGACATTCTTCCGCATACCGCAAGGCATCGGAAACTGGTGTGCCTTCGGATGAGTCGGGTCGGTAGGGGAGAATGGTGTCGATTGGAGACGATGGTTCTCGACCATAAAGTAAAAAGAATGGAGAAAAGCCTGTCGTCGCTTGAGGTGCCGTGTTGTAAGCGTACGTTACGTAAGGAAGGATAAGATCCCAGTTGGTGTGGTCGGAGGCGACATACATAGAAAGCATGTCGCCAAGAGTACGGTTGAAACGCTCGGTCAAGCCATTTGTTTGTGGGCGATATGCGGTAGTACAGCGGTGAATTACATAGCATTCTGCAAGAAGTTCTCGAATAACATCCGCGAGAAAGACGCGGCCTGGGTCGCTTAAAAGTTCACGTGGAGCGCCATGACGCAGAACAAAACGTTGCAGCAGGAAAGACGCAACGTCACGTGCCGTCGCGGCTGGTAGAGCGGCCGTTTCTGCATATCTCGTGAGATGGTCGATCGCTACAATAATCCAGCGATTCCCAGCTGATGTATATGGTAGAGGACCATAAAGGTCTATTCCAACCCGGTCGAATGGTCGCACTGGGCACGGTAACGGCTGCATTGGTGCAGTAGGACGGCTAGGATCGTGCTTGCGGCGTTGGCACTCTGTGCAAGATCGAATGTACTTTTGAACGAATGTGTACATGCCGTGCCAATAAAACCGAAAACGTAGCCTGGCGTAGGTTTTAAACAAACCGGCGTGCGCACACTGCGGATCGGCATGGAAAGCAGCACATATGCTGGCGCGGAGATGCCTGGGTATGACGAGTAGCCATTTGCGACCGTCAGGGTGGTAGTTGCGGCGATAAAGTATTCCATCACGGATGGCGAAGTGAGAGGCTTGTCGGTGTAGCGCTCGAGATGGCGGGTGGGCGAGTGTTTCAGATAGGTAATCTGTCAGAGACGCAATCCACGAATCTTTGCGCTGCTCCACAGCCATGTTGATGGGTCCTGATAGTGGAAGGAAGTTGTCTTGGATGGAGACACTCGCAATATCAGTAGAAACAGGCGAACGCGAAAGAGCGTCGGCATCGGCGTGCTTCTGGCCTGAGCGATAAATGACGCGGATGTCGTACTCTTGGAGCCGTAAAGCCCATCGTGCCAAGCGTCTTGAGGGATCTTTGAGGGAGGATAACCAGCAGAGCGCGTGGTGGTCGGTAACAACATCGAAAGGGCGGCCGTACAGATAA